CCAACGCCGGTTGGGAACGTATGGCACCGAACAGATCCCACTCGTGGTCGGCACCGGACACCACTTCGGTGAGCGATTCCGCGTGAATAAACTGCATTTTCTGAACACCTGTGCCGGCGAACGCCTGCTTATGTATACGCTTAACATTTCTACCAAAAATACTGATTAGTTCGAATTGTATGCCAGCAAACGCCTGAGCCGGTAGGTCCTCCTCGGTCAAATAGTCCAACGCTATGGATATGAATTTTTTCTTATCCGCCGGCAGTTTAGCGCTTAAGTCACCTAATATTTTGGTAATATTTGCGTTGTTTTTGCATTCAATGTAACACCATTCTCCGGCAAGTTGAGGTGGTATATATGAGCATGGTGCGCTAATAGGGTAGTTATCGGGGCAGTCTACCCAAGGACCATCATCGGCATTGACCATGGTAACAATTGTCACTAGTAATACTGTTATAAAAAATTAATAAATAGAAAATTTTTAATTGCAAATTAAACTATAAATTTTTAAATAATACTTACGTTTGTAATTCATATTTGAATTTTGTAGGTATACTTAACTTTATAATAAATTATATTTTAAAAAATAATTACGCTTATACTGTATACTACAACTGTAATAAACTCTTAATATTATACACAATAAAATATAAAATAAGACATATTAAATTGTATCGGCAGGTCCGTATTTGTTTTATTTGATAATTGAGCATAATGTTTTATTGATTATGAACAGTTACTATTGATATAACCAAGCTATTTTCATCTATAACCACAATCTATTTGGTAAACCTGTTGAATATTGACTATTGACTAAACTTCAGTGATATTTTTATTAACTATATTATGTTTGTTATATAAAGATAACATTTACATAAGGATCTATGCAATACTTTTAATCTTAGTAAATATGTTATTAACTTCAAAACAGGATTAAATTATTTCACAAAGATTATTCATGACTGAAATAGTTAGGCGTTGTTCACAAAGTACGTGCGCACTTGGGGGAGGAGGGTGTCGGCCAAAGCAAACTTTTGCGAACACGGAGGAGGGAGGTATAGATACTTTATAAAGGTTTGCATTTAAATCATTTGATAAATTCATTTGAAAAATTCCCATCTCTAAAGCTAATATTAAATAATTGTTATCTTTTTGTTATATAATTGTTATAAAAATGTACTATATTAATATTTATTAATCAATATTAATATTAATATATTTATTACATTTTTATATATGAATAATTACGGTAAAAAGATTAAAAAAATTTCCAAAATAAAATAATTAGATCATATTTGTTATTATTTTAGTATTACTATTACAATTAACTAAAGCATTGATTTAATTCCATTTATTAAGCTAAACGATATAATTCATAAGGTTTACCAAAATGTCAATTTTAGCAGGGTCAATCATACAACGCTTTAAGCCTATTTTATGGATATCGAAGGCATATGTGGCACAAATCCAGAGTAATTAGTATTAAATTCATCCCGGGTCATGTCGGTAAATTGATTTACGCCCAACCAATAGGTGTGTTTGCCATTATCTGCTTCCATGTTATGCTTACGGATGGCCCGGTAGTTGTCGACAAAAATTGCCCGCCTTTTAACCTCGTCGTAATCTTTCATTACCTTCAGCGTTTGGTTTGTCCGAAATTTGCGCTTTAAATATATGAACAAGGTTAATTTTTGATAAATATTTATTAATATTAGATTTATAATACGTGACTGACCTTAAAGTTTTGCCACTCCCTTTCAATCTCGTCGGGTGTTATATCTAGTAATGTTTCTGGTATTGTATACATGATTAATATTATATAAAGTTCTCGCAAAGTTCTAGAGTAAAAATATGCAATAAATAAAACTTACTTAATTTTTATACAACTATCTTTATATAAGTATTAGCTGATGATTCACTTATAATCTATATTTGCTTTAATATATACAATTTGTTATCATTTAAGATATATCATTTTATTTTTCATTTTAATAAACAGTTTATGTAACTTATTAAAAATATAAATATTTATTCTTAAAACTACGCATTAATTAAATCAATTAGTTATAAAACTTTTAAAACTTAACATTCATTAACAAATACTATGAAAACATTTCCGCTTTATTAATAATTAATAAATTGTAAAATAATTTAATAAAAAGTAGTGATTACATTTTACAATTACATTTTAAATTAAAATTTATTTTTATATTTATCATTTTCATGACTCAATAATTCATAAACTGAAATATTGCTAAATATATAACTAAATTAAATATTTAAAAAACAGTTCTAAATCACATGTTAATTTTTTAAGATAACATTGCATGATATAGTTTAAATTTATTTCCATAAATACGATTTCATAGCATTTATTGTAAACAGCACTATCGTCAAATATTAAAATATCAAAAATTAAAAAATTACAAACAATGAATCCTTTCATTTATTTAATGCAAATTTTTTAGCATTATATGAAAGTATTTCAATACTTAGTTTATTTAAGTATTTAGATAAAATAAAATGGTTCGATAAATTTTAATTCATCGTATTAAAGCAATAAGTTGGAGTTAATATAAAATTTTGTTAGGTAAAAATTATAACAAATTTTGTTAATCTGTGTAACTCATATTTAAGACAATTCTATAAATAATACTTTAATCCAGTATTCAGTATATTACAGGTGTATATTTGAAATTCCAAATTCTGATCAAGGGTAAAAGTACAGATGGAAAACTTGGCAGAATTAAATCCTGACGAGATTAAAGATGAATGGGATAAGTTCAAGGTAAATTAAATTCATAATAATAAATAAATAAAACAAAAATAACCCACAAATAAAGGTCAAGTACCGGACCGGTAGTGAACTAAACATAATGAAAGACTACAAAGAGCCGACCCGTCGGGCAATATTTGCCGACAACTACCGGGCCATCCATAAGCACAACATAGAGGCCAATGATGGCAAACACACCTATTGGTTAGGCGTCAATAAGTTTACCGACATGAGTATCGACGAGTTTCGCCATGTGTATCTATGCAAGTCGCCTACATTGGAACAAGAGTTGGCCTCCCGACGATTAAGTGGTTGGAGTAAATTCAACATTTACCATCGAAATGTACCCAACAGTGTTAATTGGCGCCATAGAGGCGCGGTCACCAGGGTCAAAAATCAGGGAGAGGTATGAATCATAGCGTAATTAGAGTATTACTATCAAAACGAGTTATGAGGGTTCGATGTTTAACCACAATTAATGTACGAAGATGTTATTGATATAACCTTGTGAACAAGGTTTATAATCTTACGTTAATTTATTTTGTTTAGACTGCCACGTGCTTTATATTTGCAGCAGTCGATACAATTGAAAGTAAATACAATTAATCATAATATATAATTAATGTTGCTAACATATTTGTAATTTTTGTAATATTAAAGGTCACTATAAAATAAGCAATCCAAATGAAAATTTGTTAGAGCTATCGGTGCAACACGTTATTGATGGCCTTAATATGCCCTCGGCATTAGAAAGTGGCGGGTATTGTGATGAAGTGTACGAATTCGTAATGAGACAAGGTGGCTTAATGTCAGAATCTAACTATCCATTCCGAAACGATTTTGACCCTACTCAATTAAAGTCGCATAAGAAAATTGTGACGATAGAAGATTACGAATTATCGCGTGACCATAATGAAATGACCCTGCGCCAAATTGTTGCTTGCATAGGGCCGGTGGCGGTGGGCATTCGTATTAATGGTCAAAAATTTCGAGATTACAGCCGGGGTGTTTGCGACAATTGTGACGGACCTCCTCCTTACGATTACCACGCGGTTGTGGTTGTCGGCTACGGCACAGAAACATTTAATGGCATTGACCACGATTACTGGCTAATCAAAAATAGCTACTCGGAAGATTGGGGCGAATCGGGATACATGAAACTTGCGCGCAAAGGAACCAACCTGTGCTATATTGCATCGAATTGCGCATTTCCGACTGGTGTGCGCAAAGTGTTAGTAATAATTTGACCTTAACACATTTTTAATAATTAATAGTTATTAGTTACTAGTAATTAGTACATCAAATGTTCGGCTACTACAATACAGAGAGTGTATTGGTCCAAAAAATATTATTAATATATTTCTATTGTAAGATTAAATTTTAGCTAAATACTATAATTTATTATTAGTAATACAATAGAAAGTACATATTACTATAGCAGTGAAATAGGCAGTAGTAATTTATAACACATTATTTCCGATCGATATAGTTTTAAAACTTAATTAAATATAGTTGTCTGAATTTATTATAAAATAATTAAGAATATTAATTTATTAATTATATAGTAAATGGTATGAAAATATACCGCAACAATGGTACACGATTTTCTACGTGATGTGTGGTTTCGCTTTCGGTTATACATTGAAACATTATAAAGTAATTTGATGAATATGGTTTTTAATTAAACCAAAATTAATAAATATGGTAATTTAATTATATAAAATTTATTTTTAAATATATTTATATAAAAAGTATAATTTTTACTAAATAATAATTTTTGATAACAATGATTTAAAAAATTATTAGTTAATAATAAGTTATATCAAATATATATTTTTATAATTAACAAAAATAAATTTATATTTAATTCGTGTAATTAACGTATTATTTTAATATATTTAATATTATATTTAATAATATTTACGGTCCTAATAATATTTGTTCTTAAAAAAATTAAAAATAATTTTAGTTTAAAAATTTGATTGTTTTTAATTTTAAACAATTTTCTATACAATACTATTTCACTGGCACGTCAAATCTTACCAAACGCGGGGATATTTCTCAGCGATCCAATGGTTACCACTATCGGTACAATTAATGCTGAAATCTATGATAACATTCTTGGGATTATCGCTTAAGAATTGACCGAAAACGAGACGCTCTAAACGAGTGAAACTTTTCCCATAAAGATATAAAGCGGTCGACCGGCCGATGGACGCAAACGTTCTGTCAGCTAATCCCTGGGCAGCAAATACATTGTCCTTGATTTGAATGGTCAGTGTCTGGTCAGGTGCGGCGGCGGGTCCAACAGTGAACGCACGTTCAGCAATACGTACGATCTCTTTGTTGTAGTCCAGGCGCATGCACTCGAGGGCCGGCAAATTATCAAACGCACCGGTGCCGATCGTGACTATAAGATTGTTCATTATGTTGATCTCGGTCAAATTGCGCAACCCTGCGGTAGCCAGTGTGGGTATAGAGCGTACGCCAGTGTATGCGAAAAACTCCACCGCCGGTTGGGAACGTATGGCACCGAACAGATCCCACTCGTGGTCGGCACCGGAGATTATGAAAACAGTTATGAAACATAATCCAAAAATTAATACACATTTAATAAAACTATTTCAAATCTATTTCGTTAGTTTAAAAAATCGGTAACCAATCATCACGGAAACAGACATTTTCACAGTACAAAAATGAAAAATGTACAAAAGTCTAATTATCGGGAATAACAGAAAACCGGCTATAACAGAATAGAATTAAATTCAACAAGTGATTCTGTTAAATGCGGTGCAGACTGTATAAATAATTACAGCAAGTAATTTTTTATTGGCAAAAGTGCAATATTTTAAAATGTTAAAATATAAACTTATAATTGTTATATCATATTTCCTATTATTTACTAAAACTATTACAATTAACTAAAGCATTGATTTAATTCCATTTATTAAGCAATGTCATATAACAAATAATTTCAATTTAAGCAGTGTCATTTTTAACTTGCTGTAAATCTATTTTGTGGATATTGACGGCATATGTGGCATACACCCAGAGTATTTAGTATGAAAATCATCCTCGGTCATGTCGGTAAATTGATTTACACCTAACCAATAGGTATGTCGGCCCTCATCGGCCTCTAAGTTATGCTTACGGATGACCCGATAGTTGTTGGCAAAAATTACCCGCCTTTTAACCTCGTCGTAATTTATCATTATTTTTAACGTTTGGTTCGTCCGAAATTTGCGCTTTAAATATATGAACAAGGTTAGTTTTTGGCAATTAATTTTTGAATGTTTAGATTTATTATACGTGACTGACCTTAAAGTTTTGCCACTCCCTTTCAATCTCGTCGGGTGTTATATCCAGTGATTTTTCTACCACTGTATACATTATGGTTACGTATTATAAGTTAACTATTTATATTTTACATTAATTTAATAACCTTATTACTAAGCCTAAATAAAACTATGTGATAAATATATTTTTCTAAATTACATTAACGTAATTATAAATTTATTATTAGTATATTACAATCGTTATCATGTTAAATTTTTGCTGCGCTTTGCTTCACACTCATTTAAATCAACCGATAATGTTTATCACTTTAATAAACAAACTATGTATTTCATAAATTATAAATATTTATATGTATAACTACGCATTAATTCGATTAATAATTATGATTCACATTAAAGCATAACAACTAGTTGTAAAACTTGATTAAACTTTAAATTTTAGATTCTAGAGTACAGGACTAGTTATGAAACTTTTAGAATAAATTAAAACTTTTATAAATAAATACCATGAAGAGTTTTCCGAGTTATGATCAATTAATAAAATGTAAAATAATTTAATAAATAGTATTGATATTTGCAATTAATTTATAATACTATACGTATGTTTATAAAAAATAACGTTTAATTAAAATCGTATATTTAAAATCTGTCTATATCCTGTAATTTGCAATAAATATTTTACTAATAATAAATTATTATGAGTTTCATTTGTGTTTAGTAATATATATGATAGTATAATATTGGTTTAATATATTAGTTAATGTATATATAATAGTTTTAGTTGTATATTGTAGTTGTAGTTGTATATTATTAAATAGTAAACTAACTAATTGAATTATTCTAAATTAATAAATAACCAAGCTATGATCAATGATATTTCATACAGACAATTAAATTGGTTTGTGAGTAAATATTAATAAATTCAGTCAATTAATTTTAATAAATGAATTATTAAGTTAGATAAATTCTTGTACACAATGCTCTACTAATTTATTGTTCAAAATGTACAGTTTATTTAATTATATAGTGGAAATTAAGCTGTAATAATAAACTTAAAAATGAAAAATTAGCAATGTTATGGTTATACACTTTTTACATTATTGCAGATTTTAAAATACTTTTATTAAATTTCGAGAAAGTTTTAATTTAATTTTATAAAATTAATTTTGATTATAAAAGTTTATACTACTAACAATATTATGTATGTATTATTAAAATTTAGCTGTAATCAAATTATTTGTTTGTGAATAAAAGAGCATGCTCAGTTTTGTCCACAGTTAAGTTCCTTCCAAACGCGTGGATATTTATCGTGAATCCATTGATTACGACTGTCTTTGCACTGCATATCCGGTCCCATAACTATTGTATTTTGTGGACTATCGGCCAAAAAGCTACCAAAAACATCTTGATCCAAATAATTAACTTCATTAATATTCATGAATATATTTGTCACGCATTGAATGCCATCGAACGCGCCAGGTGCAAACGAGGCACCTGTCAACCCATCGCCCACCAGCGATATAGTCACCCGTTGGGGACCTCCTATACCGTGACCAACAGTGAAGGCCTGTTTGTCTACTCGTGCGATGCGGGCGTTGTTTATGCGTATAATTTGAAGCATAGGTAGATTGTTTAGCGCATTAGTCTCGATGATTTTAATTGGGTTACTTTGCAGATAGATATAGGCCAAGTGTTTGTGGCCCGAAATGGCCATAGTTGGTAGTACATTTACCGAGGTTTCCCAAACTCCTAGACTCGTTAACTCTGTCAATGTGTTGATAGCGGCAAACAGGTCGCTGTCCGACCCCTTGTCCGCCCCCACCGGCGATCCCCTTAACCAAAAGTTGGAAACCGTAGCGGCGGTGCCGTTGAATGCCAACGGGTTTACGCGCCGTAGACTACCGGCCCTTTCGATATAAATAGTGGTGAATTGTATGCCAGCGAACGCATTGGCCGGCAGTTCAACGATAGCCGTGTTGTTTAGATAGAAATCTTTGAATTGTTTTTGATCTGTCGGTAGTTTTTGGTCCAATTCAGCAAATATGGTCTTTATATCAAATGGTTTGTCCCCTCGACAGCCAATGTTACAGCTATTGGGTGTGTCTTGAAAGTAGCATGGTGAACCAATTGGCACCAACGCACCAGGGCATTTGCTAACAGCGTTGGCGTAGCTGAATAGACCAATTAATGCCAAAATTAAAGCTGCAAAAAATTAATAAAATATAAGTTATTGTTAATAATAAATACAAAAATGGCATTAAATATTACACACTTTTGTAAGTCATAATTAAATTATACAAGTGTTTATGTATTGTAGTTGAGTTATATAAAGT